GCTCGCTAGTACACATGGACATGTAGCAAAACACCACTGTTCATAGGCAAAAAGGGAACATGAGGCAACTGGCACTGGACAACTGACGTGAAGTCTTGTGGATTATATAAGCAAAGGATGATAAAGCAGTGAAAGCGGAGAAAGGACTTTGGAAAAAATACAACTTGCTTATAGCACTGACTTTTAATTTAGGGGTTTTTTCCCCAATCAGTTTTGCAGATCGTATTTTTCCCCTCTCTGGTACTGGAGTTGTAATTGGTTACAATTACAGTGTTATTTTTGCAGTTAACACTTAAAGAAACTGTTGTTGCTGGTGTTTGTTCAGTTGCTTATTCAAGTGGGATGCTCTTGCTAACCGTTTCATCACTCAGTGTAGGAGAGGACGTGGTTGGTGTGTGAGGGTACAGGAAAGGCCTGAGGGTCCCTGAAGCTCCTTGTGAGCACTGCAGGCTGCTCTGAAAATACTGAGTGATTTTGTGATTAAAAGGAGAGATTACTTTCAGCACAGATGGATGCCGAGTGATGAGAAGGGGACAAAACAGACTTCTAGGCAAAACTGTGCCGGTAGCAAAACATAAAACTGTGCCTGGGCAGTGACTGGTTCCCGACTATGTGTCACTGCCCAGGAAAAGGGCGTTAGGTTTGGGCAGTTTTTCTGCGAACACCTGCTCAGTGCTAATTTAAAAAACAATCAAACAAATAAATTGTTATAAATTTTTATGGAAAAGGAGTAGAGGACAAAAGAGAAGGCTTGAATATGCCACGTTATAAATCCCCATCTTGAATATTGTGTGCCATTTTGGACCCTGTTCCAAGATTTAGTAGACGAGGAAGAGGCATGGAGAAGGATGACAGGCTTGGGCTGGCTTCTGGAAGAAGAAAGGGTGAATAAGATTGGGAATAATCAGTCTGGAGAAGGTATGAGGAAAGTAAAGATGTTTTGCAGAACTTAGTGCCAAAAGGTACTTTGGAAGACAAAACCATAGTGGTTTTAAAAGTGAACTGGACAATCCCATGGGGGATAAGGATTTAATTATATAGGTTTGGGTGCAGCCTATGGTTCTGGGCATGCAAATTTTATGAATCTCTAAATATCTGATGGCTGGAGTTGGAGAAAATGCTCAGGTAGCATCATTCACACCCCTCATCTTTTTGTGCTTGTTCACCTGCTGTAAGCCTTTCAGGAACAGCATACTGTGTCAGATGAACCTCTGAATTAAGAGTGCCACCCCTAGTGCTTTGAAAAGAAGCGTGCAAAAGAGGCTTGGCTGTCGTTAGAGCACCTGTTTGGATGTGTCCCCGGCACTGGTGCAGGGAGGGGAGAGCTTGTGCTCCAGGCTTGTTATGTAAGCTAAGCGGAACTTCTCAAGAAATTAGGAGGCAGTAACGGTGAGGCAGGAATAGCTTAGAGAGGAGCTTGGGATTGTAACTTTTGGATTGTTGTGAAGTTGTGTGTTACCTGTTTTGCTTTTAACTCTGTTTATCCAGATGTCTGGTATCGTGTGTTTTAGTTGTTATCCCCCTCATGGTTTGCAGAGGTGGCTTTTTTCTGTCCTCTGCCAGCAAAATGGGGGATGCTGATGATACCTTTGCTGCTCTGCCCCTCTTCCAGCTTCTGTATTTTGTGTCTTTCTTGCTTTTGAATAAGACTAGTTCCTTTCTTAGCTGTTGCCCATAGCTGTTTGGTTTTTTTTCTGTAAGAGCAGCTGCATGAAAACAGTGACTGTTACCAGGTTTTGATCAGCAGCTGCAAAACCAAGTAGTCCTCTTAATTTCATTTTGCATCTCTATGGTGAAGCTTTGTACAGTAGTAGTATGTCTTCACTTTTTACAAGATCACATTACATTAATCAACAGTTTGCAGGTGAAAGGGATTTTTTGTAACTATAAGAGCTGTTTGTTTACCTCTTAAACCAACATAGTTCTGCTTTAGTTGACAATATCCAGGGTAAATTGTCTTTTTTTCCAAGCCCTTACGGTTTTTGGAAGGCTTGGTTTGAAAGGAGAGGGCTGTGGTGGTGTGTTTGTCTTTGATAGGCTGTCTCCGTTAATGTATTAACATGCAGTTTGTTATGAAAACTATATTTTAAATCTGTAAAATGTAGTTGTGATTAACCTGAGAGTAAGTATCCTCAATGCAAAATTTTCATGTGAGGAAATCTGTGGCAACACAGTTAATTCTCTCTAGCCCTTTTTTTTTTTTGTTTTCATCCTCATTTGCTGCAACACATGTCCAAGGCTGTCCAGTGATGCAACCGCTGCCTATTTAAACGTAGCATGAAGTACTGCTTTACATCTCCCAGTTGTCTCTTCACCGCTGAGGACCAAATGCCAAAAGAAAGAGCCTCCTGCACCTTAAGGTGTAGAAGGTCACAAACTCACATTGGTAATGACAAACACTAACGAACGTGTTTTAACTCTGTTTTCTAACGCGTACCAGCTGGCCGAATCCCCCTGCGCAGAGGTATGGCTTCTGAAGCCGACAGGTGTTTTTTTATTCCAGTCCAAGTATCCTAAAAGTGTGTTTACAGGGTTGGATGTGGGAGGCTTCTTCCACTGAACTGCAGCTGTCCCTTGTTTGTGGTTTGAAACGGTGACTATCGACACGTGCAAACAGAGTTTATACAGAAACTCAGAAGGTCTCTTGCAGATTCAATAAGCATGGAAAGTGGCGTGTGGTGTTTACGTCCTGGTCTCTCTTGCCAGAAGTCTTGTCTCTCAAAGTGTATAATCATTGCCTCTTGCATCTCAAAAGTAATTTTCTGGTATTTGAGTACGTCTTTGGAAGCAAGTGTCGTGGGAAAAGATCTACTCAAAGCTCTTGCACAAGTTTAGTGACTTTTTCTGGCTTAGTCCGGTCTGTTTTGCTCTTCTGGTTCTCCCCTTTTTTTCACCATGGCTGGGACAGAAGCCATAACATCTTATATCAGGGTTTAGAAATCCGAGGTGATTTCAGTGGTTTTAATTTACCTTTCCTATGGAAAACCAAACCATTGCAGCCAGTGATACCATTTCATCTTGTGTTCCTAATGAAATATGGGCAACAGTGGTGTTCCTGCAAGTTCCCTTCGAAGGGAATTCTTTTAAAGGAATGTAATCACCATAGTGTGCTTTACAAGGCAAAGTATCGAAAGCATCCCTCATCAATTTCATATTTGGTATACATCAAATTTTTATTTATTCTGCTGAAATGAAAAAAGGAATTTGAGAAGATGTGAAAAATTTAGGAATAAATGTGAAAGTTCTGTGACAATATAAAATATTAATTTTCCATTTAATTTTGTTCACCTTTGTTGTCTCTGAGACTGATCACAAACTGAACTCAGTTTCTTACTCTTCACTTTAAACAATAGAAAAAAATCTTGAGTTGTCTTCAACTTCTTCACAAAACATGATATGGTAAGAGGATTAAATCACTAATACAACAAGAAAGACTTTTAAAAGTAAAATAAAACCTTATTATTGTAGAGCTTCTTTGACAGACAACTTGTCTAATTAATCATAATAGATTTATTATCAAATATTTATTTTAAAATATTTGACACAGATTTCAATTATATCTGAAGGCAGTTTTTGAAATATAAATAGGAAACACATATAATATTTTAATTTTTGTTAGTCCTTCTCTTAATATCTCTCTCATACATTATACAGGTCAAAGTAAGCAACATTTCAATACAGTTAAAATGTGGACATACGGGATATTCCAGTTATTTAGGTTACCTGTTTAATGTCTTCACTGGACCCACAAGTGCTTCAAGTATCTTGTTAAAAAAAAAAAAAAAATCATAGCATTGCATATTATTAGAACTTCAAAAAATGCATCATCTTCGGAAAGATAATGACAAATTAAGCAAGATCCATCAATGGCATTTAACTGGCAACTTATTTATATGTAGTTTAGCTGTACGTTTTAAGACATCATATGGATGATGTTCTGGAGTACCTGTTTGTCAGTTAAGGGCTGTGGGTTTCCAGTAGATTTTAACAAAGTCTGACCTCTGCTTTGAGGAAAAGGCTTTCAAAACTTTCCTGTCTTGGTCCATAACACATTTTTCCAACATCTTTAACCCCACTGTCCCCTCCCCCCACGCATAGGCCATTACTTTAATCTGACAAATTTTATGGAGATATTATGTGGAGACTTTAACATGCAGATAGATTATAAATCCAAGATGTTCTCTTCCCTTATGAATGCTAATGATCTGGTATTACATTTCTAATGTGGAGTACAGAAAAACATGTCCCTTCCGTGTCACAAGAAATGACCTGTTTACTTGCACGCCTTCAAGTTCTGTCTAAGTGACTGGGAGCAAGACCAGAGAGACATAATGCTCTATTTGCTGATTCTAATAGCAAAAATTGTTTAGACTTGAGAAATATCTTATTGTCTATGAATCCATTAAAATACCCATCACTGCATGGGTTTTGTTTCCCTCTCACAGAAGTGTACTCTCTATTTCTTCATTTCCGTTTTCCGTTAAGGACTATTATGCTTTATGTGATCTTGTCAGTCAAGTTCTTTATTTGGCTTATTGTAGGTGTTGTTTTCCTCTGTGTATTAGCTTCTTGTGGCGTTTGAAAAAAAAAAAAAGGCATCTGCTTTCTCTGTGCGATCTCTGTGCCGTTAGGTGACTTAAAGATGTTGGAGAGAGAGAAAGCAGAGCATTAACCTACTGAAGTGCACGGGTATTAGGACTGTTAAATAAACCCTTCCTTCTGAAAATAAGTTTATGATGAGTAGTCTGTTTGGCTTGTTTAAAATGTATTTTCTCACAATTGTAAAATGAATCTGTCAGGTCCTTTTGTCACTTTAATTTTGCTCTGTGCACAGTGTCTATTTCTGTAACATTTCAGTAACTTCCAGGGGACCGAGTTTCATATTTACTGTGTGTTCTTAATATGACTGGTGTGTTATCATGCTAATAGGGATTTTGAAACAGCCGAGCTAATAACGTTCTGTGAGTTACATTTTGCTGTTTAAACTATTTCCAGGTACATCCACCTTTATGGAGGCATTAGCAGCCAATGGTACAACCAACATCCAGACATCTGTAACGGGAGTGACAGCCAGCAAACGGAGATTTATTGATGACAGAAGAGATCAACCTTTTGATAAAAGGCTACGTTTCAGTGTGAGACAAACAGAGAGTGCGTACCGGTACAGAGACATTGTTGTCAGGAAACAAGATGGATTCACACACATTTTGCTGTCAACAAAATCATCTGAAAATAATTCCCTAAATCCAGAGGTCAGAACCATCCTGATTCGGGGGGGGAAGGTGCTGAGGGAATTCCAAGTCTCTGCCTCACTTGTGCCTGTTATTCAGGCACAAACATACACAAAACAAGGTTCAGGTTGTTGCTTGCAAGATGTTACACATACAGCTGACTTGAAGCGTAATTCAGCTGAGTTTTAACTGTGTTATCTGCACGTGCAGCTGTACTGTCTCTTGTAAGACGTGGTGATTTATGAAGCTTTAGCTGGAATTAAGGTTCTTTTTTTCTGAACTGGTTGCATATGCCATCTGCTGTCCGAATTACAGAAATGCTGAATGAGTGCTGTACTTACAGATAGCATCTAATAGATCTTTGCTTAATGATTTCATTATCTTAGTCTAATTACATTTTTGAAATGCAAAGATTCTAATGCTTTTTTTTAACTAACTTATTTTGGGATAATGAAAAAAGTTAACTTTTCTAATATGATGCTTGAGTGGATCCTAAGGAAAAATTAAAGATGTCAAAGATCTCATGAGGGGAGGAGAACAGTATGCTGGTTTTGATAGCCGTAATAAAAAGATTTTAATGAATTTTTGATTTTTCAGGTAATGAAGGAAGTCCAAAGTGCATTGAACACAGCAGCTGCAGATGACAGTAAACTCGTGCTGTTCAGTGCAGTTGGTAGCATTTTCTGCTGTGGTCTTGATTTTATTTATTTTATACGACGTTTAACAGATGATAGAAAAAAGGAAAGCACTAAGATGGCAGAAGCTATTAGGTACGTAAGATCGCCTTCAGTCATCTGAGTGGGTATTCTTTGTCGTGTAGTCTGGCTTGTTTTATCTTTTTTATTTGAAAAGCCTCTAATTCAGCGAGATCTCAGACATTCACCTGTTATGTGATACAGTGTGCAGCACTTTATACTCCCTGTCCCTTTCTATTTGGCTTGTCATTTCACGCATCACTACTTTTACTACTAAAATTTAACTATGAAAACTGTCAGTATGGTGATACTCCTCCAGTTGAAACCAATTTTAAAAGACTTAAACAGCCATAGGGTTTCAGGAAAACAAATTTCACACACACAAATACAAGATGTGCATTGAATGAGTAACAATGTCATACATTCAGAGCAGTGGAATGATAGATATTTTAGAGGAGGAGATTTAATACTAGTGAACATCATCCCAATGCTAGGCTCCAAACCTAACACTTAAACAGGAGCTGAACTACTACAAACTACAGGAATATATATGGAAAAAAGTACGAGTCTTGAGACGCGTGTTTTAACAGTACGAGGAAGTAGCTTGTGATTTGAACACTGACTTTTAGGGCTTGGACTAGCTCTTGTATTCTTCCAGAGTGTCTATATTCCTTCAGAGACCTAAGTTCTGTTGTCGTTTTCAATATTCATATCCCTAAAAAAGGCCTTGTAACATGTAAAACCTGTTTCAATGGAGACACAGATGGCTCAGAGAGGTGGTAATAGTTTTTTCAAAGGAAAATTTTCAATCATTCAATGTAAAAGTTGCTCATGCAGTGACTTCAGATGTGGCCAGGGGACAGAGACTCTTAACACTGAGCTTCTGTCACTAGTTTAATTCAGGCCCTCTAGAAGCCTGATTTGTCACCTATTATTCATTGTTAATAAAATGGTTAGAGGTAACTTAAAACACCTACGAAGCCCCCCTTCAAGTACAATACTGGTATTTTTTGTGTATATGCTAGAGATGGTCCTCTCTGGACTATTCAGACATGATTAAAATTACCTTAAGTCTCTGGATGGGGGATGTCTGTATGACAGTTTGCATAAGGTGGTTCCAGCAGAAATTTTTTTGCATTCATCCATTTCAGCTCATTAGAATGAGTTAAGCAGCATGACAACCTTTAGCAATGGATGCAATACAGTAAAAATGTCCTGTTTCATAGAAATACAAAAACATGTAATGCAGATAAAAGGCAAACTTTAAAATTACCGCTTAATCCCCCTTTTTAAAAAATTTCATAGAAACCCCATATTCCCACAGTAAGAAAGTGTCTGCTGATGTTCAGAGGGAACCTTCTGTGTTTCTGTTTGTGCCATTGCCTCTGGTCCTGTCACTGGGCACCACTGGAAGTAGCCTGCCTCCATCCTTTTTGTGTTCTCCCTTCAGGTATTTACATACATTAATGGGACTCCTGCCCCAAGCTGTCCGTTCTCCAGGCTGAACAGACCCAGCTCAGCCTTTCCTCGTATGAGAGATGCTTCAGTCCCTTAGTCATCTTGCTGGCCCTTTGCTAGACCATCTTCAGTAGCTGCCCATCTCTCTTTCACTGGGGAGCCCATAATTGGACACTGGTGCTGATGCAGGACAGGACACCATCAGCCTTCTTTGCCACAAGGACACGCTGCTGGCTCAAGTTCAACTTGTTGTCCACCAGGACCCTGAGGTCCATTTCTGCCAAGCTGCTTTCCAGCTGTTTGGCTTCCACCATATACTGGTGCCTGGTGGTGTTCTTTCCTGGGTGCAAGACTTTGCACTTCCTTTTGTTGAACTTTGTGAAGTTCCTGTGAGCCCATTTCTCCAGCCTGTTGAGGTCCCTCTGGATGGTAGCACAACCCTCAATGTATCAGCCCAGTTTTGCATCATCAGCAAACTTGCTGAGGGTACCCTCTGCCCCGTCATCCAGCTCATGAATGAAGCTGTTGGACAGTACTGGACCCAGCACTGACCCCTTGGGGTGCAACACTAATTACTGGCCTCCAACTAGACTTTGTGCCACTGATCACCACCAGCCATTCAGACATTTTTCAGTCCACCTCACTGTCTGCTCATCCAGCTCATACATCAACAGCCTGTCAATGAGAATATTATGGCAGGCAGTGCAGAAAGCCTCACTCTGAAGCCTAGGTAGGCAATATCTGTCTCTCTCCCCTCATCCACCGAGCTAACCACCTCATCACAGGAGGTTATTGGGATGGTTTTGAAAATGATGTTACTGTGGAGATGAATTATTACTGAGTTTTCAAGGGCTGGTATATTTTACTCTTTCGTTATATGTAGTGAGTGCATGTTTCTGTTTCTCTTCAGGAATTTTGTGAATACTTTTATTCAGTTTAAGAAGCCTATCATTGTAGCAGTAAATGGCCCAGCCATTGGACTTGGAGCATCTATATTGCCTCTGTGTGACGTGGTTTGGGCTAACGAGAAGGCTTGGTTTCAGACACCATACACTACTTTTGGACAAAGTCCAGATGGATGTTCATCCCTTACATTCCCCCGGATAATGGGCCTGGCTTCTGTAAGTAGCTTGCAGGGTAGGGGCTGACAGCTTCTCAATGCAGTTGTAATAATTTATCCAGAGTGATTTCAAGACTTTTTACCTTTGCTGTGTTGTCTTTTCTTTATTTTTTCTTTCTCTCATGACACCTTTAATGAGAAACCAGTATTTATAGCTTCTCGGTGCCGTGCTGTTACCATCTAGCCTTCACCTGTGCACACAGAACAAAGCGGGCATGGGACCTAATCCTATGTTATGGGCACCCTTAGGCCTGATGGTGGCAGAAGGGTTGTGTCCTGCAAACCCAGGACACGCCTTACCTGCTGGTGCCTTATGAGGACCAGCCACCAGTGTCTCTTGCTCAGCACAGCATCAGAGCATGGCAGAGAGCGGGCTGGTCTGCACGCGGTGGCGTTACGCAGCAGAGCACTGTGTCACCAGCTATGCACAGTCTCATGCTAGTGTGCAAATTAGGTCAGTCAGCCGTCAGGCGTTCGTTCTCGAGAGTCGTGTCGAACTTCCTTGCTCTGTAGATCTCTGCTGCTGTTTAACACCAGTGTGTCATGCAGGAAATGCTCAGTCTAAGTCACCTTTGTGAAGGAGTTATTTTCTTTGTCGTGCACTCTAGTTACAGTCTTGCTGGATTGGAAATAAAAAAAAAAAAAAAAAGTAACACTTTGCATTGTTGCTGAAAACATAAGCCATGTGTTACTTAGCATCCCTTTTCTTGTTTTCCAGTTAGATGAAAGAATCAAATGTAACAAAAAAGTTGTTATTTAAAAATCTCTTATGACATTATTTTCACATTGCTTGCTGGATTTTATGCTCTGGTCTTTGAAAACTGTTAGCCCTATGTCCTGTTCCAACTTGAATGGTAGCAGTATGAAACAAGCACTTGTAGCCACACCTGTTTTTCCTAAATTTCTGTTTACTGTAAAAGCCATTTTTTTTCCTGTAGGAATTTATTGATTTAAAAATACCGATTTTGATATATTAAAAGCATCAGTTTGAACATATCTAATGACTAATTATGTGATGTCTGGATTTAGTTATTAGAAGAGAACAGAAAAGGTATCAAATAGATTAACAGCTGTAAGAGTATCTTTAATATCTTAGCATGTTTCAAACTACTGATTGTTCCTTTCCCTTTTTATTTGGCCATTCATCCATTCATCCATCCATTCCATCCATCCCCGTCCTTTAGAGACTTGTGGTTGTTACTTTTTGTTTCTCCAAAAGTTGTATAAAAATACAAGCAGCTCTTCCCTAGTATACTCTTTCATGTGTGTTTGTGAATGCTCTCAATATAAAGCATTTTTCATTTATATTTTTCAATATAAAGACTTTAATTGAAAGCTTCCAGTGATAACAATTCCATCATATGGAGTGCAAGAGGGGAAAACTAAAAGCCCGCTGTTTCTGTACTATCCTCGACCGTCTGCAGTACAGCAATGTCAGTGCTGTACAGAACAAAGTCGAACTTTAAGCAGCAGATTCCACGAGAGATATTCAGAATTTATACTGAAAATTTTGATAAAGTAGCATGCTTTCTAGGTATAAAAAGGAGGGAGAAGTCAGCAGCAAGAAGAGATGGTATGAGTGAGACTAAAAACATTCAGAGGGGAAAAATTAAAATATCATACAGAAGAAAGAATTAAGGCCTTTGTATGCATCATAAAATTTTCTACAAATGTATTAATTCAGCAATATTAGTCCCACACTTGTCAGATTTGGTGCATTCTTTTTATTAGCAGCAGTTGTGTAAAAGTCTTCAATTGCAAGATTGTTGGAAATCTCTTCCCTACTGGGTCAGTCTTGGCTGGCGAGAAGGTCACGGAGGGGTTTTTTCACAGAACACGTTCAACAGAGTTAATTATTACAGGAAATGTGAAGCCCAGACCTTAGGACTCAAAACTAATGCTGTCTTGGAAATATCACACGTTTCAGAAGGATTTTTAAACTTAGGTTTTGAGTTTCGAAAATAATCTGTACTAGAGATTCAGGTGGCATCTGTCTGGGAGAAGCATGTTACTGTGTGTCTGCTGTGGAGTTCTTGGTCTGTTTTTCTGGTCCTGGACATAAATTAGCACAGGAGCCCTGTGATCATCTTCACACACTGGGTTTCCCTGTCAGACTCCAGCAGCTTGGTCGTATTTCTCGTGTTTTTCCATCAGCCATGAGGGATTCACGTTTCCATAGTGCCTGCAGTGACCAGCTGCCTCCTGAGCATAGTGCGAGAGAGCAGAGACACTCTGCGGCAGCTAGCGCCTGCGGGCTTGCACGAAAGGTCCCACTGAGCATCAAAGCACTTGCTGTAGAAGAGAGAGACCAGAGGGTGTCCCAGTGAAGTTCCTCTGTGGAAGGTGAAAGACTAAGTAGAAAATTAGAATTGTTAATGAGAATCTTAAACAAATGAAATATTTTTATCATCTTCATTTCTATTGCTGTACTATAGTTATTGGGAAGCAACCGCCAAGTGTGTTAGTTCTCACAGCAGACACAAGGCATGTTAAAACCTGTCAATAGTGGGTCTCCAGCGTACGTCGTGTACAGATCAAAAGTGAAGATGCCAGAGCAAAACATTTCCCTTCAAAACGTGTCAGTGAGGATGCTAATGGGAGTGCTATGCTCATTTCATGGGAGGGCTTCTGCTAATGCTGTGTTACAGCTGGCAGAAATAAGATAACGGCACCATTGTTATTTGTGGTTTGTCACATTCAGGAGAACTCAGCAGTTGCCTACTGAGTTTTAGAAAAAAAAATTATTAAGGTTTTCCAGCTTTCGTTTTTATCCTTGTAACCAAAGATGCAGGTGAAGAATATGTAAACATGACCTGCTGCCTTAAATTTCTGTGTTTCCTAACTCCCAGTTAGACTGACTTCACAGTCTTTGATACAGATGTTAAGTAGCTTTTAAAATTACTTTGGAAGACTCCCCCCACCCCGAAAAAGATTTCCTGGTTTTAGACAAACTTGTGCATATCACTGATTTTTGGCTAATGTTTCACATTAGTATCATTCCCACATAATCGGGAAAATTAGAAGGTGTAGTTGTGATAGTTAATGAACCTTGTATGTTTGATTTTGCTTTTATAGAATGTAGAGCTATGGCGTGATATAGTTTAGTTTGAGGCTTGTTTTTTTAAAACTAATATATGTGAACCACAGCTTTCCATATTCATTTAGGAGATATGCTGATGATAAATTTTATGTAAGAGATCCTAGGAAGCATCTCTCTTTCTTTTCTTTTTTTTTACATGCCTAATGGACTGGGCAGCTAAACTGCCAGTAGAACCCAGACTTTGTATTTCATTACAAAGGGGCAAGTAATAGACCTTTAAGTTTTCAAATTTCTTTGTGTGTAAAACTGCAATACTAGGAACACTGCCAATGGTAATTAGGTAACTTGAGAGCCTTAACTGAATGTTGCTGTAATAATTACCAAAAATTCCAGTATTGGAAAACATTAAAAATCTCAGAATTTTGTCCTCAGAAATGCTACACCCCTCAGGTTTGGGTGTTTTACAACAGCCTTATTTCCCATATTCCAAGAGTCCAGTGATGGCTTTCTAATATTTTCAATGTAAATGAGTCATTAAGAAACAGTAAAACTGATTTTACTTTAATTCTTCACTGGCTTTTTTTCCATGCAGATGTCACTGCAAACAAAAAGTTTAGTGAAGTTTCTTATATAGTTACGTACTTAAAGGTAGAATTAAAGTGTAAGTGTAAATGGTTGTAGGATGAAGTTTTAATGGGGAAGCTGATAAATAGTGAAGTGTGTGATAATTACAAATCAAAAAGACTGACAGAACTAGAGATCATCTTGTTGCACGGAATGTAGTGCTCTGTTCTGTACCTTTAAGCTCTATACAAGATCTTTTAAGCACTGGGGCTGTTTTAACTAAGACTGCTAAATCGGCTTTTGAAAGGATTTAGCAGTTCACTATTGAACTCCTGAACAAAATGGGAATGTTTATTTTCTATGAATTTGATCAGAAATTTTAATATATCCTGCTCACTTCAGTGGGTTTTTCAGAGGTCAAATTCTAAGATGATCCGGCCATTTTAAATGTTGCATCATAAATTAAATACTGCTGAAGACTTTTGAGAAGTGCTAAAAATAACCCATATATTTAGGTTTTGAACACTTCTGGTACTAAAAAACATTTTAGTCTCAAAATATTCAACTGTTCTTTTCTACCAAGACTGGCAGCTCCCAGGAAGTCTACTCCCAAAACTGGTTATCTTTGTAATTTACAGATAATGTGGATTTTTAGCAAAGACTTCATTGCTGCAGCTAACATTATGGTAAAGGGCAAGCTGATGTATTCATTGCTGTTTTACAGATCTGCCAGGCATTATAACCTATTGCCACACATACAGTTAAGGAAGTCAGCAACACTGCAAGAAAGCTAGAGCTAATGTGTGTGCATGAATGGGAAATGCTGGAAGACATTTTCACATTTAACCCTTAATCCTAGACCTCCATATTTTTGTAACTACTGCTGTAGTATAGTCAACCACACTGACTAGCTACGTGTAGGCAAGTCTCTTTCTTTATTAATTGGAAGTTGGAAGAGCTATAATAAACTATTTCAAATAGTGCAGGCATTTTCCTTATTTGTTTTGAACATTTTTCCTTTAATGAGTTTTGTCTCATTACATTTCATACCAGAAGTAACTTTTTATCCCTTCAGGCCAATGAAATGTTGTTCAGTGGAAGGAAGCTGACTGCACAGGAAGCTTGTGCCAAAGGCCTCGTCTCTCAAGTGTTTTGGCCGGGAACATTTACACAAGAAGTAATGGTTCGAATTAAGGAACTTGTCACATGTAATTCAGTTGTAAGTTTCTTTTATTTTCTTACAATACGTTTTTATTATTAGATTAATAAGAATTAATCTAAGTATTATTAGACCACATCATTGTGTTCTTCTAAAGAAAGACAATTTTAATGAAACAAGGACCACATTTTAGTATAGCAATGGCTTTTTAACACATTCTTATGTATCTCTTTGTTTCTGGGATTTTGAGGATTTTTTTTTTTTAAGTTTGTATCTGATTCTTCTTTATCATATGCCATAGTACTGTGTGGTTAAGAACACTGAAATGGCATCAGACTCTTTACAATATATTTCAGTTTTAACGCAGTTGCATAAGGCCAATTTATTCTGATTAACAGTGTAAGCAGTTGCCCTAAGAACTGCACAGAAACATAGAACTCTTGAGTTACCTTGAGTTGTAATTTAAATTACCAAGGAAATAAACGCAGTCTTGGACATTATGTTGAGCTTGATTTTATGAGGAATGCATTTGTGGTTGTGTGCACTGCTGGCAGTTGCACAAGATAGCTAAAGCTACCAATATTTGATGCTTTCTTACTAGAAGAGATGCAGTACAAATTAACTGTTCTGTGCATTAGACATTTTGGATTAATTCTTTTCTAAATGGAAAAGCAAAGAAGATTATTTTTTTTTTAGTCTATTTTAAATGCTCGAGACATTCATGGTCTTCCTAGTTATTGAAGCAGTTCTGGATAATGATGTTACAATTAGACTTCATCAAAATGGAATTTTCTCTCATCAGTATAAAACCATATCTATATATATTCATAGTTACGATTTTCTGGTTTTCATTATTTCCACATTTTTGTGCACTTGTAAGTTGTGCTGCTATAGGGTAAAGGAAAGCCTGTGTGATGCTATGAGAGAGACTCTATGAGAAATGTTGCTTGGGGTCATAGTACGTCCGTGAGTTGAAAAGCTTGAGTTCATAGTCAACTGCAGGAATTGTCCATATAAACATGGAAGTGGACATGTTACTCAGCTCTCATGTAATACTAACCCAGCTCCCTTTTTTTTGGGGCCTAGGTACTTGAAGAATCCAAAGCTTTAGTACGTAACATCATGAAGGTGGACTTGGAACAGGCAAATGAAAAGGAGTGTGAAGTTTTAAAGAAAATCTGGGGCTCAGCACAAGGAATGGACTCAATGTTAAAATACCTGCAGAAGAAAATTGATGAGTTCTGATGAGATGCCCATTGACACTGGAATTGTATTTCTTGGACATCAGGGCAAACAAAATACGCCCATTTTAAAAAATCTATATAAACTAACCCCTTGCTCAGCTTGGGAACAGGAGTGGACCCCCCCCCCCTTTTATTGTCAAGGGGTTTAAAAGTACTGTATCACTTAAATTTGAACAAAACTCCTTTCTCCCTGATTGTTACATATAGGTATATACACACACACAAGTGTATGTGTGTGCATATATACATGTCTTTTTATATATATATATATATAAAAAAATGTAATATGTGTGTGAGTGTGTGTATGTAGACACACACACACACAAACTAAAAAAAAAAGTGCACTACCAAACATCTCTTTAAAGGCTCTAGTTTTTGTTACCTTTGGCTAGTACTGTATCAAATAGAGAATGGATTAAAAAGTGAATGGTGTTGCATTATTTTCTGTGTGGCAGGGAAGTTGGGAATAATGCTTTTTTTTTTTTCAGTAGAATACAGAGTTGAAACGGGTATTAGCCAGCCCTTACTTTCACTGCCCAACGAGTCAGCTAAGATACAAGGCATTGTCTCAGAAAAAGGTTGAAATACCTCAAGTAATGGACCATTCTAAAATTTTGGGGAATTAAGCCCTATTAAGATTAAATCATCACACCTATCCCCAAAACAAGAGTGTGCTCAGGATTAATGCTAAGAAAACACTCTGTCCTTTTTTGGGGGGGGAGGTATAGAGGGGTGGGAGGAAGGGAGCAGGAATATGTTTAATTCTTACCCAGATAGCATGAAGAAACCACTGTCTCTTGGGGAAGGGGAATGAGGGGAAGTGGGAGGGAAATGGAAGGGGGAAGAAAGAAAAAAAAAAAAAGCTTGTTTTGCAGTATTAGTGAATCACTGAATATCTTATGTATGAATATCCTAAGTTATAAGTTAGTTTTAGTGGGATTTTCAATAGTCTGTGGGCTTGTTTTTTGTGTTTTGGGGTTTTTTTGTTGTTTTTTAAAATAACTACATAAATGCTTCTGTTGCTGGGTGAGAATACTACTTTATCTACAGTTTGGGTTTTGGTTCTTTTTTTTTCCTATTTGCTGGTTTAATTGATGTATTACACCAAAAATGCATTTTATGTTCATAAATTTTAGGTTCACTTAGAATATATTATTTAATAAGTTAAAATTCTTTTGGCACACTATTAAGTAAAAAAAAAAACTCCTTTAAAAAAAACAACTACCTTATATTAGATGTTTAATGTTCTTTGTCTATGTTTTTTTATTATTTTAAATATACACTATATTCAGTATGGTGTAAAAGAGTGCCCTGTGTAAATAGACCTATTTTGCATTCCTTTCAGGAGTGGTTATTGATTCCTGACTGCAGATATCTATTATTACTTGGGTATCTGTGCTTGCAATCTTATTGAATGTATTATGAAGAATGAAAAAGAAATCAAACCTTATTTTTGTACAGTTTTGAAGTTTTTACTTGGAACTGACCCACCTCCCCTTCCCAGTGGAGAGCTGTACAGTGTGTAAATCTGCCTTTACCTTGGATTGGTACAGTATTTTTGCATCTGTGGGACCTACTTTTTTGTTCTAGTAGTTTGAACTATATATAAACTGTACAATCTGTAAAGTTTTTATAGAATAAATATTCAGCTGTGAAAACTGGTTAAATAAAACTAATATTTCTTAACACATTTTAAACATGGTTCTCATGTAGTTGTCTTTTTTTTAAAATCAGAACTGAAATGTCTTTGGTTTAAGCAACTCTTAGTCTTGCAAATTAAACCCGTCACTATTTATGTTTTATTTTCTTAAACTTACATAAGCTCTTAATTTCCTTTAAATGAAAAGTTGAAAATTCATTTACTGTTGTAAACTACATAGAAGTTTTCTCCCAGAGGAGGTGAATGGGGGAAGAAGACACATACAAAGTCATGCTACTCTTAATTATTTTGTTATGGTTCTAAACAAAAATTCAGTAAATGTTTGCAATCTCTTAAAAATGGGTCATTTTCCCTAATACAATGGTGTGGTAAAGTGAGAATTCCGTAGCTGAATTTGATGATGATCACTTTAATGAAAGGGAGGAGGGGAGATACCTTTTGGAGTTTGACTCAAAATTATATAAAGATCCGTTTTCTGGCATCTGTAAGAAGCATTTGGGCAGAGATTGCACCTGTTTCATCTGGAGGATTATTTATGCTTTCCTTAAACATGAGAGAAGGAACTTCAGCTCTAACAGAGGACTGGAGCGAAAGATATTTAGAAGAATTAAATCAGCTGAAGTAAATATCAGGCAATTCAAATGGAAAAATAATTCTACTTGCTTCATTTTTTGTGTCACTATCAGTCAGGTTGTTACACTGCCTACAATTTGCATATTAAGAGGTGACTAAGTTGGTGGCTATGTAAATTCCTGTCTCTGACTGGAAAAAGTCCTTAGTTCAGACAAATTCATAAACACATCAGTGTCACTGGAATTTCCCTGACTTTATATTAAAAGCAGTAACTAACTTTATACTGTTAATGAATTATGCTCTCATTCATAAATAATTACACATTTTGTCTATATACTGGACTATAGGGATACTGTTTCTTTAGGAAAAGACTGTCCAGTTCTTTTCAGTATAGGTCAGTAAATATCCTTTGACATGTGTGAAAGTTACAGTTAAGTCCAGTTTAGTCTTTGCAAAACCATAACCGAACATAGAAAAATTGTGGACTTCCAATAGCAAGAAGGTCTGAGAGCTCAGAAAAACTGACTTTTAAGACATTTTAAAATGAGTGTTCTCAAGGCTCTTCTTTACAGAAGACACAGGTCTTTGTCTAGCCTGGTTCAGTGCTGGCACTTTTATTGTTCTACATAAATTTGCAGTACTGCATAGATAAACTAACCTGAAGCATCAGATTTAGCTTCTGATGATTGAAGACAACTGTAGCCACAAAGGTTTGAACAGGGCCCAGGGAGACACGTGGGGAGGCCGCTCAAGTCCAGCACAGCTTCTGAGGCACTTGGAGTTGCAGCCTCAGGGAAGCAGTGCTCCTTCAAAAGGGCTTTTCTGCATGATTCCCATACTGATGTGTGAACAACTTGTACGTGGAGAATTTTTGGAGCATCATGAATTGTTGGACCTGGGTGCAACACAGGAACATAGAAACAGTATCTTTCTGAATGATGCCAAGAAAACTACCCTATGTTTGGCTTTTTTTAAAAAAGAAAAAAAGACTTTTTCCTCAGTTGTTCCCTCCTTCAGGCATGAAGGCAAATCACAACATCTGAGCGACAGGAGTCTAGTCAGCGACTAGTAGAATTAGGAATAATGGTATTGGAGTATAAAATTCAGCTAGCTTTAGCCTTGCTCAGTCCTGGCCCCCAAGTCTATCAAGACTGTGCTGTCTTGATTGCACCACTGCAATCTGAAGATCTGAACTCACCTATAGCTGTCTTGCTGCTTCAAACTTCCTGATTTGCATGAATCCAGTATTTGCAGCAGTTTCCTTCAGTGAGTCCTTCACTGGGTTGCTGACATTGCTAAAAGACACTTCTCTGTACTTCAGAACTGCACCATTATTCTGAAAACACAGTTCAAGGGAATTCAATCATCTTTTTAGGTGAGATTCATTTCTTAAAAAGTCAGGCACACTTGAAAAGAATAGAAAAAACACATAATACTGAGCTATAAACTGCTTAACTTTATAGTGATACATTTCATACTTTACCCAATCAGTGGTTAAAATAGGACTGCAAATACCTAGGGAACAGGGCAGCAAACAACATTTCTGGCCAAGTGGACAGGAGAGACTTTCTTCCTATACTCTACCTGGGCTTGTTGGTGAAAGTTGAGGCACTTCACATTCATCTGGGACATGACAAGGATGCTTCTGAAGAGAGTAGGAGGGAGGCAATACCTCAACTCAACTAGAGTTTTCCATACTATTTTCCATCCTAAAGAACTGCCAGCAGCTGTCAGTACAGAGGCTGTCTTACAGAGCTGTAGCAGAAGCTGAGCTGGCAACCCTAAGTCGTGCAGCACAGGAGCTCAGTTATACCGAAGATGGCACACAGGTGAATTTTCCTTTCCAAGGGAAGAAGTACCAGGAGGAGAGCCCCTGTATAGCATAAGATCACCATGGTCCTGTGCTGTACAGCCCCCCAGACTTCTCTAGAAAATACTTCACTCACAGGTCTGCATTTTTTTTTTTTTTTCTTACTCATGAGGGACATGACTGGCAGATTAAGTCAAGTCATGCACCAGACTTATTAACAAACCCCAAATATAATTACCTTGTGAGGTACTCGTAGGACAAAGAGTGGTTTGATGTGCACAGATTTTGAAGTGCAATACAAAATGAGAAGATGGTGATGGAGTTCTTTTCGTCCTTATCCCTCCTGCACAGAGAAAAATACAACAAATAATGGGAATTAGAAACCACCAAGACACAGCAGGTAAGAGGTTACAGGACCTGCAGGAGGAAATAAGGGAACGACAGTTACCCTCCCTTAAGTCCTCATTCTTACCACCCTCAATGCTGGAAGAGATACAATTGACAAGAACACCAGGAGGACATATACCTGTTCCATACAGCAGTGTGGAGCACATTATCAGTACCTATGCCTAAACTCACACAGACTATGAGCCTCACATTCACAGGCCCCTTCCAGTGGTGCCCAGTGACAGGGCCAGAGGCAATGACTCAAACTGAAACATGGGAGGTTCCCTCTGAACATCAGGAGACACTTTACTGTGAGGGTGACCGAGCACTGGCACAGGTTGGCACACACCAAACATGGTCCCGGGCAACCTGCTCCAGCTGGCCCTGCGTGAGCCGGGGGAATGGGACTAGATGACCTCCAGAGGCCCCTTCCAACCTCAACCATTCTGTGACTCTGTGAAAAAACACACACACTTGGATTCATTTTCCAGCTGTCCAGTCATCATCCCCCAAACAACCACCAGGGCTAGAACTGCAGGCTCAGACTCTGCAACACGACGTGCTTTAGTCT